CAATCATAGTTAGGGCCTCGTTGTGTGTCGTTGTGACACACAGGCAATAATGAACAGCAAGCACTAACCGTGTCAAATTGCGATGATGGCTACTCAAGCCTGCACAACAATAGTGACTCCCCGAAGTCCCATAGCTAACAATAGGGGTGACGACCCTCTCTGCGGTTAGCAGCAATAAGGTTTGGAAGGGTGCAACACTCTTCCCGTGTCAACCACAACGGCATCAGGTAGTAACACCGGACTTCGATGGCATCAGCCCGTAGTGTAGGGATTTCAAGCTCACGTCTGCAACTACATAACTCTTTGTACGTATCAGCTAAGCAGCCTGTCAATGTGCACCGCCCCGATCACCAGGCCAGATTCATGCCAGTCCAGAGATCTAGATGGAGTCAGATGGGCTATTAGGAATGCGAAGTTGAGCCTTGCCAAGGACAACACAACTCGAATGATTTATACGACGGAGAGCGTGACGACGCCGACCAGCCAACTATGACAGCAGGGGGAGAGAAGACGAATCCCAACGAGAGAAGGCAACTCCTTTCGACAAAAAAGTCGCAGTCATAGCACAATAGTCCATTCCGCCTACTGCACGTGCTGCCTTCGATCCATTCTGCAATACCAACCCAAATGAGAGTGAATCTTCCGGTACAAGATGGACAGGTACACCTCCAACCATATCGCGCCCAGTCTGGCACCGTAGCTCGACCTCCGGTCCTTCTTGCACCGTCGGTCTCCTGCGGTAAGTACTCCTTTCCTCCCTTACACCTTTCTGCTTTCTTCCCCCGTTCCTATCCATCTTCTTCCTCGACCTCTACGCTCGATATCTCTCTCCTCTTTTTAGCTGTATTTCCTTCCCTTTCTCCGACAGTATTCCAATAACGGCAATGCCCCTGGCCGCACCTGCGGTCAGGTGTGCAAATCTCAGATTCAAAAAATTGCGAAGATCGCAGCAATCGAAGAACGCAGATACGAACTAAGGCGCTATCAAATGTGGATGTCGGCGTGCACACGAGAGAGAGTGATAATTTTTCAATCTATAAAATGAGCAAAAATAATCGGAATGGATCTTCCACCAGAAAGTGGGAAAATACATCTCGTCTCAGCTTCCTTCCCCCTCACCTTCACTCTACACTCCTCCAACCTGAAAACTAACTCGTCCAATTGATCCGCAACATCCTAAAACCCCCATTCTGGCTTTTAGTTCACGCGATTCCATACAGGATCGAGTGAACTCTTCGTTTTTCACCGCCTGCCATATCTGCTCCTGCCATTCCTTTGCGCGACTCTTTTTCCATCTAACTACCTATCTACTAACTTACTGCTGATTCAGACTTTAGAATCGGGGTCGCCAGGCATGAAAACCCCCGATTCGAATCCTCCCTCGCCCGTTTTTATCAAGAAACGGACGAGATCATTAATTTCACCTTCACTTCTCCTTCGTTTTCCCACCATCTTCGCGCACACCGTTTCCCTACTGTCTCCCATATCACTAACTGCCAGTCAAAACTAACCTTATGGTCGCTCAAACTCGTTCCTCCGACCGACGCTGCTCCCGACAGTCGTAATCCCCGTTTGCAACCGACAAGGTGTTCAACAGTTCCAGCTATCCTAAGGGAACTTCAGAGGGAGCCATCTATTCAACGGTTCTATTAGTCTGTCGTCCCTATACCCGGGCCCAACGGACGAATTGCAGCAATACCACTGCAATCTCCCCCACAACGCCCTTCGTCTGCTGCGAAGCCCGCCGCATAAGTCTTGGTGGGGCAGATCCTAGTGCAGATCTCGGTAGTAGTACTAAATATTCAAGGGAGTACTTTGAGGCCGAAATGGAGAGGGGTCCCATATGGATAGTCGCTCAGTTTGCGTCCGGCGTCCGAACACGGTTCATAACGGATCAGGGCTGCAAAAACATACTCACTCTCTCACAACAGATTACGGGTGGTAAGCCGTGCACCCGCGACGCCCCCCGCCGTTCTCGGACTGCAGCCTCGGAGACCCGTAAAAAAACATACTCACTCTCTCACAACAGATTACGGGTGGTAAGCCGTACACCCGCGACGCCCCCCGCCGTTCTCGGACTGCAGCCTCGCAGATCTGTTTGGAATGTTCCCCAATTTCCCTTTTTCTTTAGGCTATCGACACTCACCAAGTGGAAAGTGAGGGAAGCCACGGCTACGGAGCTCACCACTCTCGACTGCGTTGACCTCTTCGGCCCGTGTTTCAAGGTACCCAGGATAGCGGAATCCCGCTAGCATTTCGAACACGCTGTAACCCATAGGTCAAACATCGGAGGCGCGCGATCAAGGTCCTCGGCTGCCTCGACGGCCTTCAAACCCAGCGTCGCACCTGAGTCGAGATACAACTATAAATAAATAGAAACGTTTAAACTTTTAATCGTCAGAATACGACGAACGAGGATCAAGCACCGCTAGCATTGTTCCGGCGCTGCCGACGGCAAAACCAAGGGGGATAGCCCCGCCGGGCCCTCAACGTCTCGGTCCCTTTGCGCTACTCTGATATCTCGCGTCGTCGCCGCTCGATCTCGATTCTTGAATCTTTCTGATGAAAGTCCGACTCTACAACCAATAGTGCTAGGCCCAAGTCTGGGTCTTTTTTTTTTTTTTTTTTTTTTTGGGGAGCTGCACCTGCTGGAAACCGGGTCCAGCGTCCCTTACATCATGAAAGTAAAGCAGAGGATAACCCTATGCCGGAAACCGGGTCCAGCGTCCCATTCTTACTAACTTTTCAATCCAATAATAGGGGCTAGTCCATTCTACAAATGTTGAAGGAGTACTACTACTAGACATGGGGAAGCCTCTTCAGTCAGAATTCTGACCGCCTGCTGGGAAAAATTGAACCTAGCCTCCTCCTAATAGGACCCTGTCCAGCCTAATCCTATGCCATGTCCTCCCCTCCTCCAAACCACTCAAGATCCACCATCGCTAACGGAGCGGGTGGGAAGGGATCAGCAAACAGTTCAGGCGCTCTCAAAAAAGCCCCTGGTTGGATCTCAAACCAATTCTGAAAGTTAATCTGGTAATCCCGTTTGATCCTCCCCTGCTCCTCTTCCTCCCCTGGCCATATTATTTCCCCCAATTTCTCACCTGCTGCATCCCCTAGCCATTCCAGTTGGAACTTCCGTATTCCTTGTTTTATGTCTTCTTTTTGCTTGAATTCCTTAAGCTTTGTTCTCATTTTCTCCCACTGGCCCCTTAGTCCCGTTTGGACAAAGCTTCGTATTATTTCTATCACCTCTTCACTTTCTCTTCCATTTCATTAAGGCCCACAATATCGCTTTCCTCCCTAGATGAAAGAAGTTATGTTGGAATTCCGATAAATCTATTAATTGAGGGTTCCAATATCCTCATAAAATTGCTCTCCAGTCCCAGGGCCAATCCAGGCCAGTGAATCTTCTCCACACATAGTCCCATCGTCTGCATAACAAGACGGCACCTGGGCATTGCAAAAAGATGTGTTCAATTGTTTCCTTGATTTTCCTCTTAGGGAAGGCCCTTGCACAAGAGTTACACCATGGCAAAGCCACCCCTTTTTGCTCTAATGTGGAATGATCTATTAACCCGTCATTCGTTGGTAGACATCTGTGCACTATCTGCCATTGCAAGGATGCAAACTTGGCAGGCCTTTCCCTTAATCCCTGACACCACTTGACTGGTTTAAGCTCCTCATATATATTCAGGTGTTCGTGACGGACACCTAAATAGACAGATACTGCGCGACGCGTAGATCTCTTGAAGCGTTTTCAAAATCACTTTGTTGTCGATGCCGTCCTCCGCACATATCCACAGGTCATAGGCAAGCGCACCAATCAAGAGACATAATCTTTTTAATCCTAGTTTAATAAGAAGAATAAAAATCTGGCCGGCGACCAATGTCAGTTTTCACAATCATCAAAAGGAGAAGATATCACGCACGCCTCAAGTCTGCGCGCCCACACACTCTCTGCTCTAGTCAACCATTCAGCCTAATGTAAACCATAGACACCGCCGCGCCTCGCGCGTTACACCTAAATTTTAAATCAAACTTATTTTCTGTTACCTGCAAAAACCAGGGCGGATACCCTTGTAAGGGTATTCGCACCGACACCGGTATGAGACCCTTTTCACTTAACTGCCAAGACGCAGCAAGTTGAGGTCAAATAGTGTATGCATGTGCTGGTTTTGACATCCCAAAGAAGGGATCAGCACGGGTAATGGTTACCTGCAATGCTGTATGGTCTGTGTATGCAGCGTGATACCCAGGTTTATTTGCCTAAGATTGGGCGCCCAATTATTGGGTGAAGAGGTAGGAACTGCAGACTTTCTAACCTCAAGTACTCAGCAACACAAACAAAAAAAGTGTAGGGGGCTGCTAGGTCAAGAGGTCTTTTTGGCGCCCGGAGCAGAAGAGGCAGACCCTGTACCCCGGTTGATTCAATTTCCCAGCTTGTAGGGATGATTCCCTTCATTCTGGCTGCTCAGTCAATCCCCTGGGTCCCAGGGTACTCAATGCTGACAGGTCCCACTGTAACATTCCTCAGACAATCTCAGACAATTGTTGTACATGGGATGCTGGACCCGTTTTCCAGCAGGTGATGCTCCCCACCAATGGATGGAGTCTCCCTGGGGGTGCTAGCGGTGATTGCTTTAATCAACACCTCTAAAACCCACAAGAGATGCTTTCCGGTAAAAAAAAAAAAAAAAAAAAAAAAAAAAAAAAAAAAAAAAAAAAAAAAAACATTGATGTCCTCGTGTATTTTGCAGTTCTTCATTTCCACCCACCCATCTTCTCTGTTTGAGCATGTTGCTGCATGCACAATTAGTTGAAATTCCATGAAGTTGTGGAGGGATGACATGTCTTGCTGTGGTTGCTGCATGCACAATTGGTTGAAATTCCATGGAGTTGTGGGGGGATGGAATGTCTTGGTGTGACCCAGTGTTATTGTATCCCTGGTAAAAGTGTAGTCCAACTCCGCTTGCTTGGATGGCTTGTACAAAATGCAGGGTTTTTCGGCAAACTTCGAGGCTTGGAACCTGGGCCGCACATCCTGGGCTGCCGTTGACGCTGCAGTGTGAGCCGGCAAGAACAGAACCGGCACATCTCCTTTGAACTGTATACATATTGTATGCTCTGGCATGTCACCATTGTGGGATGATGGAGCTCTTGGTATCAGCGTAAGTGTGCTCCGAGTGACCAGCTATTCTAGTGAGTTAAACAGTTGGTGGAAATTACAGATGACAGATATTTTCTGTAGCCAGGAGGTTGAAGGTGGAGACCGTATTTTGGAAAAATCCCGCAACATTGGGAATATTACTATATTAGTCAATATTTTCTTTTTCCAGATGAACTGGTAATATCCTGTATCCTGTTAAAGAAAAGTTATCGTCAGCAAAACAGTGTTGGTGGTTAGCTGACGAACCACCCCTCCCCACTTCCAACCAGAGTCGGCTATCGACGTCCTTGAATGGACAAAGGGAGACGAGGCCTTATGATACCTCGCCAGACATGGGTCAAAGCCTGGCAGCTAAGGCAATCTCCACGCTCTCCCCATGTAGAAGGGCCCAAGCATCCGGTGACTATTACGAATACCTCCGTCCTCTCCACCTTGTGGCATTTGGCATCTATCTGGTCTCTGCCGGATGATGCCTTGAAAATTTTGAGCAAAAAAGTGAGGTCTTTTGTCTGGACAGGTGACCCCTGCAAGCAAACATGTATCAACAAAGTTGTATACATCATAAGGACACCGGAAGGAGGAGGACTGGGTCTGTTAGACCCCAAACAGATGAAATGGTTACTTAAGATCTTACATAGTAGCTACATCCTTTGGACCCATATGGCCCTAGACAGTACCGTCTTCACCCGAATAGAATGCCTGGTTGTTATTGCTGGATTTGGGGCGACTTTCAGTCCACATGCAGTGATAATGACCAGGTGTTGTATTCTGGTGAAGACGGTAGCCTCGGTCAGGAAGCCAGCCAACATGGACAGGACCTTTTTGGCAACAGAGTGGACCATTAAATCTGGGTGACAAAATAGGATTAGGAGAACAAACCCTTGGCCTTCTGCCAATTGGACGTTCTTCTGCCCGATCCCAGTCAAAAACTGTATTGGGCTTCTATCATTGTGGAGAAACCTCTTTCCTAAGAAATCACAGCCACCAAGGACAAAGGAAGAAGTCCTGCGCCAGCCATTCTTCTGCAATTCGTGGCTACCTTCTTCCACCGAACATAACGCATATGCGTTGTAAATGAATACAACGCATAGGTTGCGTTCTATTTGAATACAACGCATAGGGTGCGTTCTATTTGACTACAACGCGTATGCCGTATGCGGTCTATTTGAATAGCCGAAAATTTTGAATACACATATGCGATCTATTCATTTTTTTTTCAAATTCGAAAACTCGAATACAACGCATATGCGTTATGCTCGGGGGAAGAAGGTAGTTGGTGAGGAAGGTATAACCCACGGCCACTCTATGCTAAAGACCACAGAAAGCGGAATCTGCAAAATTGTGCATCTTTGGAATGGCAGAAAGAAGACCTGGAAATCTGTACGAAGCTTGAGGAATCGTTCGGATCTGGTCGTTGCGACTAGGATCTACCACCAGTTCAAATGCCCTGTCACTGTAGATTTTTGGCATGAATGCCCACTGTAGCAAAATCTACAGTGATCAGGCAAGGCTTAGGCTCGAAGCAAAAAGGCTGGTGGCAGTGGCGGGCCCAAAAAAGTATTTTTAAATCACAATCGGCAAACAGAAAAAGAGAAACTGGGCTGGGTTGCACTGTTTACTGCAGAACATTCTGAGACACCCTGCCTTGCTGGCTGGGCACGATCTTGGAAAGAAACAAACAAGGAAAAAAAGAAAACAAATTTGGACGTAATAGCTGTCAGATACATTCTTGAAAGTACTAGTAAGAGTATGCCCTCAGTGAGGGCCTTCCCAGAGAACGTGGCAGACAAAGAAAAACAAAAAGAAGAAGAAAAAGGAGACAAAGATTTGGCCGTGGTAGTGGTCAGCTACATTCTGGAAAGTACTAGCATCAATATGCCCTCTGTGAGGGCGTTTCCCAAGACAGTAAGAAATAAAAAACGACAACAGTGAAGAGTTGGCCATAACAGTGGTCAGATACACTCGGGAAGGTACTGGTGTGAGCACGGCCTCGGCAAGGGCCTTGAGGCATCATTTATCTCGATTTAGTTATTCTTTTTTTTTTTTTTTCCCTAGTCTTTCTCGTGCCATCTGCTAGCATGAGGTACCGTGCTTCAGTTTCAAGGTAGGCTGTTACCGGTACCTCCCTCAGAGAAAACCACCTGCACTGTAGATTGCAGGCTCGGAACTTCAGAGCATGTCGTTAGGCCAAGAGTTTCTGCCAAGAGACTATCACAACTACTGGCAGAGACTTATGTCTTGGTGGCTTGGACCAGATAAACACCTGAGGGACAGCAAGACTAGCAATTGTAAGACCAGCAATGAGATCATCTTGAAACAGCTTCCAGGAATAGTGCTGAATCCACTCCAGGATCGGGATGCGCTAATTTCTGCGCACGTGCGCAAGCACATACGTGTGCCCGCGCTGTGATTCGCGTGTCCATGTGACGCGAAGTGAGCTAGTGCCGTGAGCAGAATCGCCTGTTTCAGAAAACAGAGTAGCCCGAGTAAGCGTCCACGTGGAATGGTTGACGCGGCACTCAGAGTAGCCAGGGTAAGCGTCCACGTGGAATGGTTGACCCGACACTTATCTTGAGTGCACACATGAAGAAAGGCGGTGATTGGCGGGGAAAGCGCTCTATTTTCCTGGGGAGAGAAAAGCGTTCTAGTTGCGTTGTCCTTGTCGATAGCCACGTCAGGCACATGGTATCTACAATGCCTTCACCACCATTCTCTGGGCGGGAAGAGCCATAGGAGAGGTAAGCCAATCTGGGGAGAGCGTAATTGGAGGGTGATTTATAGGGAGTTAGTAGTGCAGACTTTCAAAATCCTTTTCGTTCAGAGTCAGGATGAATAAATTGAGCTGGGAGTGAAGAAGAAGGTGCTGATGCTATTCATCATCCGGCCAAGAGAAGGGAAGCTGTTCAAACGAAGTTGAAAAAGGTGTTGTCTGACGAGTCTAATAGGAGAGGGGAGGTGAAGGGACGGTGTACTACGTAGGGTGTATCATAGGCTTCTAAGCGGGAGGCTGCTCGATTGGAGTGATCAAATGAAGAGTATTGTTGGCCCAATTGTGGGCAGTTGGAATCTATCGCCAGCGGTCAGTGGTATAACAGTGATCTGGTAATGTGCTGAGATAATCACCGCTCCGTCCTCTTGAGCCTTTCATCCGCTCACCCTGCTCCCATCATCCTTACCAGCCAGGAATAGTAAATAAAAAATTGCGAACAGGGATAACAAGCGCAAGAATGAACGACTAGTTAATTAAAAAAAAAACAAAGGGGGGAGGGGGGTAATTAATGGAGACAACATCGCAAAAAGGAATAAGCAGTGATTTGATGCACTTGATTTTTGTCAAATTTGAGCAATCCAGTTTTTTGTTTCCAATGTGCAAGGAATATGAGTGTGAACGATATGCAGAAAACCAAGTGGCGAAATCACACAGATGTCCAAGTAGTCGTGTACAAGCAGAGAGCACAATTGCACCGAGAATCCATCCAAATAGAGCAATACAATGAAGTAATGAGCCAATGTTCAAGCTCTCAGGCCACACCAACACAGTATCCAAAGTCGCTCCTCTCTGTGTGGTGCCCAGCGCCTAGCCTACTCTACTCGACTATCCTACCTTCAGCTGTGTTCACGCAGCAGGCTCACTTCGACTCTCGAAGATCAATGTACACGATGTCAACACCATAGCCGACCTCTCTTCATGCACCAGGTATGTATCTCGTCACCCTCATCAGACCTTGCTAACCCACACACTCGCCTCCTTCCCTGAAGACCACCAGATCGCCCCTCTTACCCCCTAGAGCCCAGCAGCCCGGCTATGGCTGCCAGTGCACTGCTGCCCTGCAGCGCCCCACTTCACCTCAACGCGCCCCGCAAGCGCACTGGCCGCAACACAGCATCCAATGCAGCAGCGTGACCACATTGCCTCGCGGGCCAGAATGCCTGGCCTGGTGCCTCTCTTCCTATATGGAAGTGGCAGCCTCCTGGATGCTGCGTGTGGCCTGGCTGGAAGCTTCCAGTAGCTTCCTGTTGGGCCTTAGTAAATGCGCCCAGGCCAGAGACTACAGTTGAGGGCCTGGGCCCTTTACAGTTGGGCACGGCCTGCATTTGCACAGGACCCCGGGGTAGATACGTCGACGATACTGCTTTTGCATAGGCTGGTGGCCACTTCATGATGTATCGGCCCTGCTTTGTGTGTATGTGCCCAGGCACAACTGCCAGGGCCTGGGCCAACTGTACGATGCAGCTTAGTGAGGCTCACGTTTCCATTCAACCAACTGGCGGGCTGCAACAGCCTGAATACCCATTTATGAAAATGCCGAATTTTGGCCTCTGATGAAATATTCAGGCCCGCCTTCACTTAGGGCGGGCACTCGGCTTGCTGGGGGCCTCTGCCCAGAACATGTGTTTGCACGATAAGGCCCCCTGTGAGGGCTCGTTCCTCGCATTCCATCCCCGAAAGTCCGCTGAGATGCTTTATGCTGGTGCCTTCCCATTCAGTTTCTTCTCATACTCGGCCACGATCTGAGGAGCTGTCTTGACAAGTTCCTCCTTCGTAAACCATCGATCTTCCTTAGGATCCGTATGATGCCTGTACCGTACTTTGTATTCTCTTGCAGGTTTAGGCGGTCTACCCTGCCAGCTGGCTTGGGAACAGGCATGTCTCTATGGTCCAGGATATCGTCGAAGTCCACGTGGCCATCCATGGTTGGGGGCAGCATAGATCTCCATGATGGGAACTGTTCCGTCTCAGCGAAAGGAGCGAGCTTTGAGGCATGAAAAACAGGGTGAGTGCTTAAGTGACCAGGAATACAGATAACGTACGAGGGACCATCCATTTCACTACCCACAACATCCAGGACTTCCCAGGGACTGAATTACTGAGGCATTAGTTTCCTAGAGATGTCGAACTCCTGCCCCAGTTCACTAGCCCTAACCTAGACACGTTCCCCTATTTGAAATGTGGACTGCCGACGATGTTTGTTCTCAGAAGCAATCATTGCTTCCTGAGAC